GGCCTACTTTGTCGGCCGAACGCAGTGTCGAGGCCTTCGGTCTCGAGTATTTGGATCAACTGCTGATGCATTGGCCGACGCCTTTCCGCCAACAAAACGAACACTTCTTTCCTCTCGATTCCGACGGAAAGTGTTTCGAAGACCAAGACATCGATATTCGCGACGTTTGGCGAGAGTTCGCAGAAATCAAAGCCAAAGGTCGGAAAAGAAGTCTTTTTCCGCACAAATAATCACTTCTTTCGCCCCTCAGGTCTCGTGCGGTCGATCGGCGTCTCGAACTTCAACGCCCGCCAATTGGAGGCCATAATAGCGGATACTGGAGTGCCTCCGAGTGTCAATCAAGTGGAAAGCCATCCCTTTTTGGCGAACGAAAAGTTGCGTCAGTTCTGCGCCGACAAAGGCGTCCAATTGGTCGCCTACTGTCCGCTCGCGCGCGTCGGGCGCTCCGGAGACGAGTCGCCGCTCGCGCATCCGCTCATCCGGTCGTTGGCCGCGAAACACGCGACGACTTCGGCCGCCGTTTGTCTTCGATGGCAAACCCAAAGAGGAGTTCTTGTGATTCCGAAAAGCGATTCGAGACAACGAATGGCAGAAAACCTGCGAATCTTGGACTTCGAGCTCTCGGCCGACGAAATGTCAGAAATCCTTTCTCTCGATCGCGGCCTAAGACTCGTCCGACACGACAAATACGGCGTCTCTGCGCACAGAGAGTGGCCGTTCGCGGATCCCTTTTGAGACGTCATTTATGGCCTCTCGTGACGCCATCTGTCGCCGAAAGTCAACGAATGCTTTGTTTTGTAAATGAAATGCAGTTTTGAAGAGATTTTGAATAAATTTGACGCGAATTTCGCCGAAAATGAGTTCCAAACCGAAGCCGAAGAGCGCTTCCAACGAGCAGATAATCGCGGGATTCAACGAATTGCGTTCAGAACAGCGACAGGTGGCCAACAAAGTGGCCGAACTCGAGGCCGACCTCTCGGAACACAAGTACTGGCCGTCTGTGCGGAAAGCGATCCCAATCTGACGCCTTTCCTCCCTTTCCTCTCTTCCAGACTCGTCGTCGAGGCGTTGGTCGACGTGAACGGCGATCGCAAGTGTTTCCGAATGATTGGCGGCGTTTTGGTGGAGCGGACGGTCGCCGAAGTGTTGCCGTCGTTGCAGAAGAACAAAGAGATGGTAAGAGATGTGATAATCGGCGAAGAGTTGTGCGAAAACTGATCCCATTTTTGACGCAAAGATCGCGCAAATGATTGAAACACTGAAACAGCAAATCGTGACGAAAGGACAGCAAATCACGGAATATATGGACAAAAACCACATTCAGATCCGATCGCAGCCGACGGCGCCCTCGGCCACGCCTCCCGAGACGGGCGGCGGCGACTCGGAGGGGGCGGGGGTTTTGGTGGCCAACACTTAACGCAATAAACGTTTTTATTTGAGATTTGTTTGTGTTTTGTTTGCCGTCCGCGCGATGGAGACATTGTCTCCACTGAAGCCTTCAATGGCGACGACGACGACAGCAGACGACGCGAAGGCGACCGACGTCTACCTCCTGGTCGACGTGTCGGCCGCCCTCACGTCCCGCAAGTTCGCCAAAGACTTGGACGCTGTGGTCGCGCGCGCCAAGGAGTCAGGTGTGTGTCTGTCGGCGCCCTTCCCTCCTCTCACGTGCGTCTCTCACAGGCGTCCAGAAACTGGTGGTGCGCTCGACGTCCGTCCACTCGTCGCGCGAAGCGCTGCGATTGTGTCGTCTGTTTCCGGGTTTGCCTTCACTTCCGGCTCTTCTCTGACTTTCATTTCTCTCTCTCTCTCAGAAACTCTCTTTTGTTGCGCCGGTATTCCTATTGTTAGCGCGTCTTTGCTTTCCTTTCCTTATCTCTCTCTCCGTAGGCGTCAGTCCCCACGAGAGCCGTCTTTGGACGCCGGACTCCGAGCGCGAGATCTGTGACGTCATGCGAAGCGCTGAATGCGTTGCGTTCGGCGAATGCGGTCTCGACTTCTCGCGAGACTTCTCTCCAAAGGAAACCCAAATCCAAGTCTTCGAAAAACAACTTCAAATGGCTTCTCATCTCTCGCGCACTGAACGCATCCAAAAGCCGCTTCTCGTGCGCGAAGTCGACGCCTTCGCCGAGTGGTCAGTCCACAGCCTCCCTGTCCACTCGCTTCACCTCTCTCTCCTCCCCAGCGCCGCCCTTTTGCGCCAATACGCCGCCGATTTGCCGCAAATTGTGGTCCAGTTTCGCGGCACTGAAGAGCACGCGCGACAGTACCTCGACGTCGGCGCCTTCCTCGCGCTCTCGGGTCTCGTCTTCAAAGACAAGTCCGAAGACGGCGTTCGGCAACTCTTGCGCTCAAAAGGCGTTCCGTTGAGTCGTTTGCGTGAGTCTTGCGTCCAAACAATGACTTCGCCTTCACTTCCGTTTCCTTCCTCCCAGTGCTTCACTCCGACAGTCCTTACGGTTATCCCAACGCACGCGCAGTGCATCTCTCGGACGCGACGAAAAGCCAACTCTCGGCGCGTTCGCTGTCTTTCCTCAACCGGTCAGTCTTTGGCAATGCTCTCGCACACACTCACCCCCCCTCCCCACCCCTCCCCACAGGTACTGCACCTTCCAGCGCAACGAGCCCTGCTCCCTCGCGCTCACCTGCGAATGGGTCGCCGCCCACTTGGGAGTCGCGCCGCCAGAGGTCGCCCTTCAGACCACTTACAACGCGCTGCGAGTGTTCGGTCTCTGCGCGCACTGACAATAAAAGAGTTATTTTTGAATTCTAATTACTATTACTAAGAGAGCCGTTGGGCTCTCGCGCGCCAACAAAGACTCCTTTCTGTATAATTAGGAAATGAATTGTTTTTCTCTTAATTATAGAGCAAAAGAAGGGTTTCTTTCGCTTCGAAATGAGTTTTGCCTCAAAACGCTCTTTTGCTCGGTTTCTCATATTTTGTTTGGCTTGGAATCGGATTCCAAACGATGGGAATGAATGCTCTCTTTGTGCGAGAAATGATTGAAAGTTATGCAAGCGATGAGAAAAAGCAGACTTTTGTCGCGCAATCGATCGCACTATCGATTTGAATGCAAACATCGATTACAGCTGAGGGTGCGGTCATTGTTAAGATCGCGAGGATCCGCTTCGCCGACACACCCAACGAACACACGCGCCAACAAAGGCTCACAATTGGCAACACTTTTCACTCACTTTTCACTCATAATAGCTGTTATGACTCTCGCGCTAACAAATGGTGTTTAATATTGGTTTCGATATTATGTCATAAAAAGTGTTTATTTTATGGTTTTGTTTATACAGAGAAGCGTTAAGTGCGGCCAACAATGCGGAGAGCGAGCAGTACTGCACAGACACTGCGTTTACGTCTGTTTTATATCTCTTTCTATCGAAAAGACTTTGAAAAGTTATGCCTTTTATCGCACTAAACATCGCGCGCTATAACTCTCCTAATCTCGCATCAAATCGCGTGCAATAATTAATCGCAGGAATTCCCGACACCACGTGACCAGTCATTGCCCTTCTGGTCATTGGCGGCCATTTCCCACCTCTGGTCCCGTTTGGGACCACCGCAGACGTCTTCTCGCGTTTTATGGCTGTTTGCATCGATTTCTGCTAATTGCCTGCATTCACTGTTTTTTGCAATAATTGTCGTCTGACTACCTGTGCTCTTATGGCTATGTGGGTGGCAGTTGTCGAGCAGTCAAACAGTTTTACGGTTTTTTGGAGCAAAAACAGATTTGCGATAAAATTCGCTCGAATCGTAAAACACAGCAAATATTCAAAATTCAAACCCAAAGCTCGTGCTCTTCGCTGCCTCTCTAATGGCTCCAACAATACACCTGCACTGCGATGCCTTTAATTACACTTTTCATTCATTGTTTCGCTCGTGATTTCCGGCCACCGATTCGTGACTTCGCGTGTCTTATGAATGAAACGTAAATGCGGGGGAAGAGAGCGCGCATACAATCACTGCTGGCTTTCGAAGCGTTTATTCACAAAAACAACACTTATTTACACTTTTCTATACATATCTAAGCAATGGTTTAGTTCTAGACTTTAGTTCTCGACGTCAACCACGTCTTCGTCGTCCAAAGCCGTCGCCGACGCAGAAGACGGCGGATGCGATCGCCGGCACTCCGCGTCGCAAAAGGCCGCCGACGACTGCTGTTGTTGCGGACAGTCGGCCGCCGAGTGGGTGAGAGTGTGTCGCCGGAGATCGCAGTTTCGACGAAACACTTTTCGGCACTCCTGACACTCGTAGGGCTTGATGTCGGTGTGCGTGAGGAGATGCGTCTTGAGGTTGGAGCGCTGGTTGAAGCTGCGGCCGCATTGCGGACACTTGTGCGGCGAGTCATCCAAATGGAGGATCCGGTGCACGGCCAGAGTGCGCGACTGACAGAAGCCTTTCCCGCAATCCAAACACTTGAACG